AACCTGATATATTTTATTATATATGTTAAAATACTTGGGCAGTAGATCAGAAACATCTGGAAAGTTTCGAAATGTGGTGTTGGAGAAGGATGGAGAAGATCAGTTGGACCGATTATGTGAGAAATGAAGAAGTGTTAATTAGAGTCAGTGAGCAGAGGAATATCCCACACGAAATAAGAAAATGGAAGGTTAATTGGATTGGTCATCTTTTACGCAGAAACTGTCTTCTAAAAGAAGTGACTGAAGGAAAGATAGAGAGGCGGATAGAAGTGACAAGAAGACGAGGAAGAAGACGTAAGAAGATGCTGGATGACCTTGGAGACAGAAGAGGATACTGTCATTTGAAGGAGAGAGCTCTACATCGCATTAAGTGGAGGAATTGTTTTGGAAGAGACTGTGGACCTGTCGTCTGACAGATTACTGATGATGATGATATTAAAATAATAAGACTAGTTTGACAATATTAAAATCGAATTTGAATCAGGGGTTCAGTCACTGTTTTTGGCAATTATGTTGCATAAAACATCTAATTTCTAGAATATATGAATACATCATTATGGTCAGTACCCAGTATTGTTGCCTCAATAAAATAAATTTTTTTAAACGTGTTCTAAATTTAATTTATTAATTAATTTAATAACTGAATTTTAACTAAACTGTTACCATAATCGCAGCTTCTATTAAATATCTTGTTCAGTATGAAACTATATGAACACAAACGTTACTTCCATGTTCATGATTTGAAGTTGACTCTCATTGATAATAATTTTCATTTTAAACTGTGATTGCCACGACGATTTATATGAAGACTCAGCTTGGTATGACGTCGATTAGTGTTGCAACTATAATATATCACAACTTTAGATCACATGACTATTCGACTAACACATAGGTAAACATCAAACAATAATTTATTATATTATATTTAAGCATCCTGTTGCACTCTATACGATAAATGATATGAACTCCGTCCCAAGTGCAAACAATATATTAAATGCCCTTGATCTAGCTATCCTTTACACTACATGTTTCGGCCTCAAACCGCCATCATCAGGTGTATACACTCACGTTTCTGTTACACTGCACGTAGTTTAAAATTTAACATTTAAAAACACATTGTTGCTTTCGTTGTTATTATCAACATCTACTTCGTTGATATCTGTCTGATTTATAATTATTTTTGTTACACACGTTAGCAGTTATAAAATCTTTAGGTCTACTTTTAAAATCCTTTAAAATTTTTCTTTAAATTTTAAAATTTAAAATTTAAAATTGTCAGGGTTACTCTCCCTATGTTTATAGTGCTGCAGCGGCTAGTTCTTCTTTCCAGCACTGTACAGGTGTTATTTTGCGTAGTCTCCCTGTTTGCGTGCTGCTGCTATTCTTTACTACGTGTGCTATAATTTATTATAGATTATTCCAATAACTGTATATGAGTTTCTACATCTTCCTGAAATTCGTCTTATTTCCAGTTTATCAAATCCAGTTATCATAAATTCTACCTCTGTTAAATTTCTGTTAATGTTAAAGTTCTCTGAAATTCAGTGGGAAATAATTTCTCTCCTATTTAAACTCCCTTTCTTTACACATCCTTTATTGTTTAATGCCATTATCTCCTTCCAAATTTATCCTTAGAACAGAATTATAGGTCAGTTTCGACTGCCGCCTGTACAGTATATAAGGATATGAAATCTGTTACGCAGTGAAAAGAACACAACATACACACATTGACAGATAGCATAAATATAGGCATAAACAGTATCACAATATGCAGTAGCTGAAATCTTAAAGAAGAATGACTGTACTGAGTTTAAGAATTTAAAATATTCTAATACTCCGTGGTTTTAGTCCGCAACCGAACTATACCGACCGAGCGACCGCCGCTTATATGCGAAGTTAGTGCCAACTTTAGCGGATAGTGGTGTCGCGTTGTCAGCGCAAAGAACTCCCAGGGTAGTTAAAATAGGTTTTCTAGACCGGAGCTGCTATTTCCTTGAAATAGCTCCTCAATTATCCTCACGAGGCTGAGTGGATCCCGTTCCAGACCCACTACTTCTAAAAAATCTGGTAGCGCCGGGAATCGAACACGGACCTCTGACCACTAGACTACAGAAGGGGTAAATTTACTAATATAATTTTAAAAAATGGTAGGTAATGAGGATTCAAACCGCATTCGAAAACTGTACCTCACTGCATGCACATAGCTTTTATTGATAAGGCAAACGTAAATAAAAATTGCAAAACCTAAGTAGGAATTTAGTATCTTTGGGTGTTTCCTAACAGAATCGGAGTAGGAAAATGACAGGAATGTAGTAGTTGTTATATAATTTGGTTGTAGAGATATTTAATGTTTTGGAAACCGAAGAAGCTAAATATACGTTGACGCGCCGAAGCTATTCTCACTCAGAACTTGTTCCTTTTAATATATGAAAACATACGGGATTGTAATTGAATAATGTTAATAAATGGAGGTGTATTCCTGAGGGATTAATCTCGAAGGTTGGAGCAATGTACGTTTTATGTCACGAAATGAAGATTTATTGACCCAATGTAATTAATATTCAACATGTTTGCGCTAATGCAAACGCTCTGAAAGAGGGTGTGTCACTCACCACGCATGCGTATTCGTGCTTTGGAAAGTAAACTGCTATAACAAACTTTGCTTGATACATCCTCTACAACTTTTAAGACGAAATTGATATAAGATGCCCTTTTAGTTCTTAATTTTCTGGGTTGGACTCTAATGGTTTAAGAAATAAATTTCCTTCACGTTTGAATGTATAAAAGAATTTTAACCTTAACCATAAACCGGGAAACGCGGCCATGATCCTTATAAATACGTTGTCTCTCATCCATTTCAGCATTTACGGTTCTTGCTTTAGGCATATTTAGAAGTATATATTTCAAAATGGCGACGATACCACAAACATTCTGACACAAACAACTTTACCTAATTAGATTAAGAAACTGAACGATATCTTACTTAATTTAATGTCCGTTCTTCTCTGTGCTGATAGTGAGACAGATCTCCGTTTATTCCATAAATACAGTGACAGAGTAAAAAAAATATAAAGGTATCCCTGTAATAGGTCGTGGAGGTGAGTAGGTTTGTGAGACGTCGAGGCTCCCACATTTTCTAGAAAATAAGCCCTCATATTGTGGTTAGGCTGTCAGCCTTAATCGCCGGTAGCCTTTCCCCCTAGGAAGATTCCTGATACTCATTTCTGTTAGAAGCTGAGTCGAACCCAGAGCCATAGTGCGGCTGGAAGGATTAGTTGAATTGAAAAATCCAGTGACCTCATCGCGAATTGAACCCGCATTCTTCCTACTTGTAGCATAGAGCCTCAACTAACTAAGCTACTGAGAGCTCCTACAGTGACAGCGTATCTGAATATTTGATTTAAATATACTGGAAAATGAATGTGAACTCCAGAACTGTTTTGACTCTCAAGATATAAATTTATAAATAAATGCAATTGAGGGTGCCATATTTATCTGAAATCATAAGTAATATACGCAACTTTATGCGAAAGTACGGGACGTCGGGCACCTATAAGAGCAGATTGTCACTGAATGTAATCAGATCACACAACAAAAAATTTCACACCATTCTCTTTGACCGGAAGGGAAACATTAGAAATGTTGCGTTACCTTGAAGGGTCTGCTGAGTGTATTTTCAACCAGTTGTGCCAAAACTCCAACATTGTCTGTAATTGCAGACTCGTGAGTCACTCTGTGCTTCCATTAGCAGTGGGAATAATATAAATTTTTAGGTTATTTAAACAAGAACGTAATACATGCAATGATGGGCTAGGTTTATAGTAAGGATGTGAGACAAGTAATGGATGTACAATTTTGGTGGAGAAATTTATTGGAAAATGGCCTACGTTAGAAAATGGAGAAAGAGATTATCGGAGGGTAACATAAAGAAGGATCTTAGACAAAGACAGTGCGTAAGAAAGGGTGGCAGTTGTAAATGGCTTAGGGTCGTGTTAAACAGAGTTGGAGTAGTCTTGCTTTTAGAGATTTGGAAATTTCTGATCCTATAAATAAGAACTTATTTATTATAAGGAACTGGGACAGTGCAATTGGTATAGGGACTGGCTACGAAAGGCTCAAGAATTTTCTTTTCCCAACGTCATTCAGACCGGCCCTGGAGCCCACCCAGCCTCCTATCCAATGGGTACCGGGAGTTTATTCCCAGCAGTAAAGTGGTCGGGGAGTGAAACTTACAATTCAACATAAACTAGTGTCGAGGTAAAAAGAAAGTGGATCTATACATGCATTCCCCCATACACCTTAATGGCATAGTGTTCATTAATCACAGGGACAAATTGACCTTTAATGGTTTTATATTATTGTAAATGTTTAATTGGCATGTACTGTCTTCGCTTGCTTGGAAACCGGGATCGTGGGTTCGAATCCCACTCAGGTCATGGATGATTAGTTTGTGTGTGTGCGTTTTTCTGTGTTTATGTACAGGTAGAGGCCTTGCGACGAGCTGATCACCCGCCCAAGGAGTCCTACCGAATGTGTAAGATCTAGAAAAACCGAAATGAACGGAGAAGTTCATGGAGGTAGGCCTAGGCCCACTGGGGCTGTAGTGCCAAGGAAAAAAAAAGTGTTTAATTATTATCACTGTAATTGGGCGTAAGGGAGAAGATGCAAGAAAAGGATGGGGAAATTTGTATCAGTGCTTTCACACTTGTAGTCTCTATCAAATATTGTTAAATTCGAATAAAATTTTTATGTTAACGATATTTATTTTGTAATTTAATAATTACGTTGTACAAAGTTGAAGGGATTTGATTTCAGCTGTATGTAAAGTAGGAGCTATACTGATCGATAAGGGCTAGAATTAAATTCATTCCACGTCTTTTGAGCTTATGTATAACATTAAATTGATGTGTCTTCAGTAACTTCTAAGGTGAAACATGTGAACAAATGGCCCTAGAGACACGATGTCTCCTTAATCTTCCATTGTATCTTTTCGTTTACAGACTGCATAATGGCTGACTGCAAGCAGAATTCAAGTGCTGGAAATTTCAACACGGGTAAGTGGTTAAAATATATTCAAAGCTAATAATTTAAAGCACGCCTAATTCAGTTCTTTTCTATTGCTATTTATTTATATGCTAATTGAACAGCTCAGAGGCCAGTTACAAAGAGAGCAAGAGTGAAGGAAGGAAACAAAACATAAAAACAAAGCAAGTTACATAATTCGATTCAATTCGTGTTTATTTACGTGCAAACATAACAGCACAGAGGCCAATTACAAATCTAGCACGAATAGAGAAATACACAAAAATAATTAAAAAAACAAAATACAAAAATGATAGTCTATATTAATTACACAGTTAGCATGAATAAGATACAGAAGCAAACATACAGAGACAAAGCCACAATGTGAGAATTTGAGTTTCAAATGGAGCATCAAACAATAATAATAATAATTCAATTCTTTATTATTTATGTGCTGAGTCAACAGCCTCAAGGCCAATTACAGAGAGAGCACAGTGTAGATAAAAATAATTACATTATAGACAAACACATTATAAAGTCAAAGACAAATTACACGCAAGCACTGGGGAAAACACAATAATGTAGAAAAGTAAACAAACAAATGATAATAATAATGTCATTAACAGATCAATATTTCTGAGAAGTGAGAAGAGTAAGTCATGTTCAGTTTCATTGAAATAATAATAATAATAATAATTCTAGGAAGTTACTCAATCTCCCTAGAAGTATTAAATACAACAATTGTGAATTGTTGTAAATTGTGGAAAGTATTGACTGATCTTTGCTAAAACAGTATTAAGTAGCCCAAAATTTTTTTACTTGTTTTAAGAATTTGGATATCTGTGGACTGTGACGCTAGCCCGCGACTCCCCCTCACTGAATAGCAGTTACCTGTCTGAATTAAATAGACGTGTTTATTCTGACTGTCAATCACATGTCTGTAAAGCGTCAAAAAATGGAGGCGCCATCCTGTATGAGATAGCACAAAATACTTGTGTGTTCTACCTACAATACCAGACGTGCTGCCATCAAGCGAGAGTGAAATGTTAAAAACTGGGACATGTCAATTTGAGTGTGGGTACGGAATTCCAAAGGCTCTGAAAACGAAAGAATATACAGCCTCCCCATATTTTCTAAATTCGTTCTTTGCGATTATGCTTACTTGATTTGCATGGGTGGTTACATATTGTAGAAACAATAATATCGTTGTAAGATTTGAGGCTTTCACGGCGGTGACTGCTTTCTTAATAATATCGTTGTAGTGTAGTCGGTATAGGGACTGGCTACGGGCTGGACGACCGAGGGGTCGGAGTTCGAGTCCCGACAATGTCAAGAATTTTCTCTGCTCTACGTCGTCGAGACCGGCTCTGAGGCTCACCCAGCCTCCTATCCAATGGGTACCGAAGTCTCTTCCCAGGGGGTAAAGCTGCCGGGAGTAAAACTGACCACACACCTCCAGCTAGTGCCGAGGTCAAGAAAACGTGGATCTATACATGCACTCATCCATAAGTTTTCCTGGCGTGGTGCTTAATTAGATAAGCGCATGTACAACTTTACCTTTCTATGGTTATGAAACTGGCAAGACTACACAGTTACCACTGAGTGTTAAAGGTCCTATTTCTCTTTCCAGACGTAATGGGTTCAAATGTTGACCCAGGGAGTAACTGTCCAAGCTGAGGTTCTTCGTAGTGTTACACAGTCACTCCATACAAATTCCGAGATAGAATTTCAAATTAGGCGACAAACGTTTACTTCCCCAGCCTTTCCATATTTCCCAAATCATGACATCATCCGGTACTACATAATATGAACTATTGAAAGTGCCTTTGAGTAAACCAAGAACAAGAATGAACACAAAAACAAAATGGAGAGGTTACCGTCACACACATAGGTGTTTTTATTGATTCACTGACAACGTGTTTCGCTCCAGATCGGCCATCGTCAAGTTGTACGTGAGAAATATACAAACCATGAAGGGATTAGAGAAAACTATAGTGATAGCGTAGATTCGAAAATTTGTTAGTTAATCGAGATAGCATCCGACTCAATGTCGTACACACACACCATTTCAAAGTTAAAATATTCATAAGCACACTAAATTTAAAAATTAAAAATTAAATACTGTGAGGTGGAAACCAGTATGAAATTTAAGGGGGTTTTGTAAAGTGGGGAAGGAGATTTTGGTGGGGGAAAATTTTGAAAAAAAACGGTTTCGAAGTAGTAGGCCGGGAGTCTTTATGGTGGGAGGTGTGAATAAGAGACATGCAAGAAGTGGGGGCAATGAGACCATATACAGCTCTGCAAGATTATATATGAAAACCTTGAATATATTAGTTCATATGATGTCTTCTCCTTTTTTTATAGTTTATTTAACAGCGCTTTCAGTATCGAAACTTTACAGTTTCGGTCTCCCTCTTGTACGACACGACAGACAAATGTGATCAAAATGCCTTCGGTTTTCCGTGTAGTAATTTTTAAAAATATCAAATAACCTTTTGAATAATAGTTGTAAGATTATGGTTCTAATGACATATACATTCATTAGGGCACAAAATAAATTTTTGTATGTCACTAATTAGTCTATGAGTTTTATTTAAACTCTTTCTAAAATAGGGGAAAACGTTACAGCAAAATTAAATTTTAATCGTTTTGGGCCTGGTGTTAGTGCGGTAAATAACGTGCTTTATTGTATAAGTCCTTGCATAATATCATATACGGCAGCTATTGATAGTGCGTAATGGAAGTAAGCTTTCAGCATAGACCATTAATAACACGATTAATCGAAATCCATTCATTCGTTGCTGGCATGAATCATGTGGACAAACACAAGCACACACACACACAAACGATATCCGATTTATAAAGTACTTTTACGAAATTACTGAGTGATGCTTATAGGAGTGGGTACGGTTATTACTACATGTTAGTTTGAACTATCTTGTCAAATCTAAACCATTGACGTAAGACTTATATTAAACCAAATTACTTTTCGAACTAGCTGGAAAATTTTCCGAAATGTTAGGCCTTTCTGGACTGTGAACAAATTAGCTAATTTAGAAATTCTGATTCATTATGAAAAAAAAAATGTGGTTGGGAGTGTACGTACTCCATTTCTTACTATATATTCTAATTGGTTTACAATAGAACAATGTTTACGTAACTCGCTATGGAAGTAGAGAAACGAAACACATGTTTGTAACTACAACTGAATTCGATAATTATTTTCACATTTCTACAGTTGTAAGGAAAGTAAATATCTTTACTTTTTCTGGCAGTTCATGTTGCGTACGAACGTTTTTGTTAATTATGTTTTAAAAAAAATAGCATGTGCTTTCATGATCAATTTTAGAGAATTTTCTAATAAAATTATATACGTTTTATTAACATACGTGGTACTCCATAAAACATCAGCAATATTCTAAAATTATGACAAGACATTTTCCAACGACAGAAATATTTATGTTTAAATACTTTAAAACGGATTAACTCTATTACTCATGTGATTTGTATAGTAATTTTAAGTAAAAGAAGAAAAATAGGTGTTTCTTATTGCGTCCCGGTAAATTCTAAACTTAACTTTAGCGTTAGTCTTATGATACCTATATCATATAACGAAGACACATAGAATTGATAATTGGTGATATCATTTAATATATGTTTTAGAATTAAAATCTTTTCAGAGAAATCTCTACGAAGAATTCCACATGAAATGTTATTGGAGTTAATTGTTTGGATTTTTACTGACGTATTTATCAGTAACTGGGGATGATACAGACACTAATTCTAACACATTCAGCGTCATGCATTTCAAAGTGTCCGCATACTACGAGAAATTTATCTTCATAAGCGAATTCTACTTTGTCAGCGGAAAACTATACAGAACACTACCGTTACTGAAGCCATAACTTTCATAATAGCCTTACTTACTAAATAGTATGGGATGTGATGTGCTGCTAGCGTTAGCAACAGTTGGTTTGAATATGCCAAGACAGGCGCAGAGGTCACTAGTGTCGTTGCTATATCGCGCGCGCAGTTCTATTTCTCATGCAGTATGACTTTGCGTATGATGTTCCTACCTGGGTCAGCCACTGCCGAATGACTGGTCCCGTCACTTAGAGGCTGATGTTGAAATGAAAGTTGCTGATGGGAGTCGAACCCAGGACCTCTCACCACTCCCATGGCGAGTCCAACGCAGCTGCTAGGCTAGACTAGAAGTGGTAGTTGTAGTGGTGTACAGTGCGGGTCACGCACCGGGCTGGGGGTGTGTTATTACATGGCGAACGAGCACGCAGGCCCATGACGTCAAGCGAGTGACGCCTGTCCGACCAAGGACAATGGCAGTGGGTCTGGGTTAAGGTCTGCTTCTGTGCCACGCAGCTGTTCACTCTTTCGAAACTAGGGGTGTGTTTTGGTAGCGGGCTGAAATACGACGCGGCTGTGAGTTATGAACTGAATTCTTAGTTCCCAGATTTTCTGTCATAATGGCTGTTCATTCTCACAGTTTTGGGGTGATTCTCTGTTGCTTTTTAAATTGCAATTCATCTCTCCCCACTGATAACTCACTAATTCATTAACTCTCATTATCAGCTCATTTTCTGGCTCACTCATTCGTTCTTTAAATCACGCTCCTATCCGTTCGTCCCTCGTTCATTAACCCTGGCATTTTGTCGCCTATTCAGTTGTTTCTTCACGTATCAGTTCGAGCCCTAACTCACGCTTTAAGTTATTCATTCCTTCAATAATTATGTATATTTTACTTTCTCTTTATTTGCTTCCACATTAGCCAATTACTCCATAATTCACGCTGTTACCAATTCACCGCGTAACTCATGCCGTCATCCATTTCTTCAGCACTCATTCGCCCTCTAAATCCCTGAATCATTCTGCCTCCAGCTCAAGCTGTTACTGAATCATTCAGCTTCTAGTTGGCGCTTTTTTTCGGTGAATCATTCAGCCTTTAATTCACACTTTTTCTTCACTGAATTATTCAGCCCCTAACTCACTGTCTATTTAATTCACTCACTAAACAGACCTAGTCTACTGATATTTTGGTAGTTTTTGTACTCATTCTTTTTTCCTTGGCACTACAGCCCCAGTGGGCCTAGGCCTACCTCCACGAACTTCTCCGTTCACTTCGGTTTTTCTAGATCTTACACATTCGGTAGAACTCCTTGGGCGGATGACCAGCTTGTCGCAAGGCCTCTACCTGTACACAGACACAGAAAAACGCACACACAAAAACTAAACATCCATGCCCTGAGTGGGATTCGAACCCACGATCCAGGTTTCCAAGCGAGCGAAGACGGTACATGTCTTGTATTCATTCACATTTTTCATTATATCCACGATCGGCAAACCAAAGTTGATTATTCGTGACTTGCTACTTTAAAATAAAGCGTGGACTTGCGAGTTTATTATAACTACTTAAACAATAAATAATAAAATCCCAGAAAGAGAGAATCAGTTCAAGCAGGCGCGTGATTATTACCTGAAAGAAGGGCGGAAAAGTAATTCTAAAATGAGGCATTACAGCTTAGAATGCTAACCACGGGACTTAGAATACACACTAAGGTGTGTACATCCACCATCCACGGTATCATGTCGTAATATTATAGTTATAGTAATGTAACTTGACGATAATTGATGGCAGGTGTGTACTTCGGTTACCAGTTTGGCGTATCTGCAATAAGTACCATAGTGTCACGTGTATTATTGACTAGTAGGCTGGGTTTGGATCGGTGAGTCGATTTACTGGATATTCACTACTCGTAACTACATTTAATTATAGCACTCTACGGATTACTGTAATTATAACTCATAAATAAATTCTTCTATATCTACTTGCACTAGTCGTTGCTAGGTAAGAGGTCTCAACAATGGCTAAGGCTTGGCAATGTTTCTATTATCTATTTTCTGCCAACGGATTTTACACAGGAAATATAAGAATCTCACCTAATTATACACTCCCAAAATCACTGTACTACAGCTCACATGAAGTTTTCAAATAACCCGTTAAGTATTCACAGGCCGAATTCTATTTATTATTCAACTACGAACTTCCCGTGGCTGACTTAAACTCTCCAGTCTAAGTCTGTCAATTGCGTTGTAGCGCCGAATGTCTTAAACATAACTCCTCGGTACGGACCACGCACAGAAAACACGTCACCTGTTCACTATATCGTCATTCCTTTCGTGTGCTGGCTGTTGCCTAGAGAAAACATACGTCACGTGATAGCTACCCACTGTTACGGCGACGTTATTGCACCTGCGCATGTGTTTGCCGAGCCGTTGCCTAGAAATTGGTCACATAACCCCGTTGTTCTAGTGTTGCATGTTGGACCGTGTTTATGGAGCTGTTGCCTAGCAATGTGTTGATCAAATTTGTTACAATATTATGAACCAATTATACTTACAGATATATTCAGGTAATAATGTGAATTATATAGGAAGATTAGTCTTTGAATAAGCTTCTCCTTTTTTCTTTTATGGCTCTACAGCCGTTTGTTAGGCCTTGGCCGATTTTTCAGTCTCCTAATCCTATACACAGCCGGTAGGACTACTTGAACGGGGGATCAAGGTATCGAAAAGCCGCTAACTGCACACAGAGCAACGAAAACACAGAATAAACGCACACATATATCCATTCCTTGAATGGGATTCGAACCCACGATCTCAGTCCTCGAGTGGGCTAAGACGGTTCATGCCTTAAACCGTGGGCCACTGTGATAATTTTTTAATAATTTTATCTCTTAAGATCGTATCCGAAGGTCCTTACGTTCTTTTTTTACAAGAGTATCTGTCAACAAGAATTTCTATGAAGAACTAATCTCATACTTTCCTCTCGCTCTAATGTTAGTATCCAGCACAAGTAGAAAGAAAACTTTAGTACGCATGCGTAATGAAACAATAAAAAATATAATTTGGGAAACTGCAGTGTTAATTTTATCGATGGGACTCATTTGTGAAGTACATTGTTGAGATGACTTCAAATGGTATAAGTACCAAGTTTCATGTCAAACGATTCAGGCATTCGAGTAATATTGAGGGTCTATCTTCGCTTTTTGCATTCTGTTTTGTATTACTATATAGTACTATTACAGAACTGTCAGTACAATATATTCGTAATAAACAAATCAATGTCACTGTATTAATATTCGTTTATTATGTGCATTCGTTACATGTTTCGATCCAGCTGAATCATCATCAGGCAAATATTCATGCAATGTACTACTCGTGGTCATAAATATAAATTTAGTTATGATTCTTGTGTTTCGTTATATCTGAATATTAGTTTAAAATGTAAAACGTTATAACTTAGTTCGAAGTTAAATGTTGAAATTCAGTATTTTTTTTTTGTTTATTTATTGCGAATTTATTAAGTTGACTCTTGTATACAAACTCCGTCACCTTTAGTCCGTAAACGAACTATACCGACCGAGCGAACGCCGCTTGTCGGCGAAGTTAGTGACAACTTTTGCGGACGGAGGGTGTCGCGTGGTCAGCGTAATGGATTCCCACGGCCGTTAATCTCGGTTTTCTACACCAGAGCCGCTGCTTTTCCATTCAAGTAGTTCCTCAGTTATCCTCACGAGGCTAAGTGAACTCCGTTCCAGACTCACCCGGGACCTTTGGGATCTGTAGCCAGGAATTCTGACCACTAGACCACAAAGGCGGCCCCGACTGTTATTATAATAATATTAAATATTAGAGGTATTATCCGAACAATTTGAAAGGGTATAGTAATGTTGGTATTATGATGAGAGGGATTTATGATGTACTCTATTGAGATTGCTTCATGTCGCATGATATACATTCAAGTACATATAACCATCTGCACCACAAGTGGACGCTTAATCATCATCCACAATCTGGACCTCACGACCATGGCACAAAATCTCTCTAGCTTCAAGGAAATTTGGATCAGTTTAATATTAGCTAGCTGCCTGGTAATGTATGAACTGAATTCTTGTCTCTTGTGTTGGACGATTCTCATAGTTAGAAGCTTAACAACATAGGGGAATTTGTGAACAGACAGCAAGGCTCCAGAAGTATGTATCCCTATTAGCCACAGGCAAATTAATGCGAAACTGGATGCAAGTGCATTTTGAGCCCTTTAAAACTATACCCCCCCCCCTAGAGCACAGATTCAGAAAATTGCTTTTAAGATGGATGCCGTGATTATCACAGCCTGTAAACAGCTGTTTTAGGGTTGCTGGAAGCCCCAGTCCGTATAGCTACTGGCTACGGGCTGGATAACCGAGAGGTCAGAGTTCGAGTCCCTGTAGGTCCAAGAATTTTCCTTTCTCCGTGTCGACCATATTGGCTCTGTGACTCACCCAGCCTCCCATGAAGCTGGAGATGGAGGCATTTTCCCTGGGAGTAAAGCGGCCGGGGCGTGAAACTAAGTACCTTCCTCCAACTAGTGTCGAAGTCAAGAAAATGTGGATCTATACTTCCACACCCCCATACTCCTTCATGGTGTAGAGCTTAGTTAGTTAATGAAAGTAACAAGTTTACCTTTACCGTTAAATAAGACAAAAATTATTCTGTCAATCGTACATTTGTATGGTGAAATTGGTTTTTTACGACGTTGCATCAACTATAAGGGCTATTAAACGCTTAATAATATGGGATGAGTATTATAAGAATTGAGACCAAGCAGGTTAATATTAGGGTAACTGTCCCTACTTATTCATGAAACATGCGGTTTGAAGTTTAGCCGTGACAGGCAATATTTCGAGTAAAGTTTCAGTGTTTCTCTTCCTGTTTAGGTCAGTCAATGCCCCGATATTATAATACAAAGTAAAGTTCTCTAACGACGCTGTTAGAATCGAGACAATAGCGTCAAATCATAACATAATTAATGAATATGTAGCGGTTAGTGGATTTTTGAATTGGCAGGGGAAACCGAAGTACTGCTACAGAATTTGTCCCACTCTCACTACATCCACCATAAATCCAATAGGGATCGAACCCAGGCTACAGTAATTGGGATAATACTTTAAAACACACCACGACTGTTTCCTTGCAAATTTTACTCTCATATTTGTGACGATTTTTCCAGACCATTTCACAGAATTTAAAATTTGCGGCAGACACTAACTAAACTGACAAACTACGTTGTACCTAACTAATTACTAACTCCATGGAGATGGCCGTGCCATAGCTCAAGCGGTTAGTCGCTGGCTTCCCACCGCGGCGGCCTGGGTTCAATCCCG